GGACAGTAAGATAACTAGAGTATCACAGTTTCAATTTTAAAACTAGTTTAGAACATTTAAAAGAATACATTTCCAATAAATAATACAATATAAAAATAGGCTATAGATCACCAGCAACCAAAGTTGGGCCACCTTATCAGGGACAGTGGGGACTGACATTACTTCTGCTACCTGCACGGCTCCCCAGCAGGATTTACACCAACCCTTCAGCTGCTGGTGATGGTATGCAATAAAGCCAACAGTTACAATAAACAACTATACTACGTTTAAAACCGAGGTAAGAATAACTGTACTTTGAAAGATGTGGTCGTACATATCCTCCCAGGGGACAATAATTTTATGCTCCTTCAACCCCCTTTGAGGATATAGCCACTAACAATCTAAGTTACAAATTATACATTACCAATATAACATATAGCTATTTGCACAATTCAAAATTTATCAATAAGTTCAATTTCTTTTAAAAAACCTATAATTAAAAGAGAATTGATTCTATTAAAAAGATCCGTTATTGAGGGTGATTTGAAATATTTATCCCTTATCATGGAAAAATCAACACAATCAAGCAGGACGTGCTTGACCGTGATTCTTTCCTCACAAGGGATACAAAATGGAGGATCCTCACCTTTCAATAAATAATCATTTGTGTACCTGCAATGGCCAATACGACTGACAACTCAAGTAGGTGTAGCCAAGAGTTGGTTTAATTTCATGTAATTTATTTATACCTACTTGAGTGTCCCACTTCCTGCATTAGATCACGGATGTAACATCAAATAAAGGGTTTAATCAGTGTATGGGATCAAAAGTGGTGTCACAGATTTGTTGAGTGCTGCCTTCGCTGCAACATCAGCCATTGTGTAACCAGTTATTCCAACATGGCTGGGTAACCAATAACAGACGATGTCGTACTAGCCAGTACCTCGATCGTTATGAAGTTCTATGAAGTCACGTTCTAATGGATGTTGACAGGAAATATTCTTAATGGCTTGAATGCAGGAAAGGGAAAATTTAATGAACTGTGTGTATGCTTCGATTGAGTATTTATATATTTGAGAGCTGTTAAGATTGCCTTTGATTCTGCTGTAAAATTCGAACTGTCATTTGGTAATCTGGATGATATGGTTCTAGATCAAACGACAGTGGCGCTAGCAACTGCGTCATCATCATTGTATCCATCTGTAAAGATAGTGTTGTATGTATGATAGTTGTTTCTTAATTGATGATATTCGTGCTGGGACATTATTTCATTGGTGTCTGATTTCTTTAGTTTAGAGATCTACCTGAGGTTTTTCCAGTTGCCACGGAGGAGACGACAGAACTTGGGTGGGAGATATGCCACTGAGCTGAATTTTGGCAGCAGAAAGGTCAAGTTTGATTCTGAATCCAAGGGGTGGAATAAGGGATTGTTTCTTATTATATAGATCCACAAACAGAGGTTTACAACGCACTCATAGGCTGGATTTGAGTGATTAGATAAAAGGTTTTGTAACATATTGTAATGACAGTTTCTTGCGGCGTTGTTTGAGGGATGGTTCATCAGCCTCTATGGACAGATTATTAATGGGTGACGGTCTGAAAGCACCAAGGCAAAGCCTCAGTCCTTGATGATGAATTGTATCTAATAATTTTAAATTATTTTTACAAGCTCCACCATAGACGTTGGAGCCATAATCAAGTTTTGATCGGATCAGTGTTCTATAAAGTTGGAGGAGCGTTTTCTGATCCCCTCCCCACTTGAAATTAGAGACAATTTTTAACAGATCTAGGGCCATCACCTATTTACTCTTTTAGTGTTTAATGTGGGGCAGAAAGGTCAAATGATGATAAAAACATAGACCTAAGAATTTGGCTTCCATTACAACTTTAATGGGAGTGTTATCTAATAACCAAAATTTAAAACCATTTTCTAAAGACCATTTCTGGATTTTATTAAACATAGCTACAGGTGCATTTCAATAGTACACATGTTTTTGCCACGACAAGAAATATTAAAATCACCCAAAAAGAGGGATCCATCAATCAGATCATTTAAAACTTTAGACAAACTATTTATCTTAATACTAAACAATGTGACAGACAAGATACTGCCTTGTGGACACCCTCATCATGATTATAATGATCAGACAGTGTAGAACCAACATAGACTTGAAATTGTCTGTCAGTTAAAAATTTGGATATAAATTGAGGCAAACTACCTCGTAATCTAAATTCATGTAAATCTGTTAAAATACTGTGTTTCCATGTAGTGTCATATGCTTTTTCCAAATCGAAAAAGATGGACACAGCATGTTGCTTATTTACTATTGCATTTTTAATAAATGATTCTTAGCGAACCAAATGATCGATCATACTTCTGTTTTTTCGGAAACCACATTGTATGTTTCTTATGAGATTATTGGTTTCTAAGTACCAGACGAGTCGATTATTTCATGCGTTCCATGGTTTTGCAAACGCAGGTTGTCAATGATATTGGTCAGTAATTTGCTGGGTCAGTATGATCTCAACTGGGTTTGGATATCAGGACAAATATAACATCACGCCATGAAGCAGGAAACTTACCTGACGTCCAAATTACAAAGATATTCAAAAGTGTTTCTAAAGATACTGTGGTAAGTGCTTCAGGAGTTGATAATGTATGTTAATTTTAAGGTCGTTTTAAAGATTTATATCAGCTAGGTATAAGCTATAAGTATCGAGAGGGTTTTGTGCTCACGGTCACCACGTCTGATACCACCCTCTGTTACGTCATTAAAGACCAAGATGGAACATAGAGAAGGACATGAGTGTGACCTGACCCTCCCGCCGGCCATCATAGCACAGTACTCGCTCACCCACCGGCACTCACTCACCCATTAACAATAGCATCAGGAACTTCATACACGCAATATCCAGTATTCCAATATTCCTCCAATCACAAATCACATAACAAAAACATAGATCTCGTGCATTACCTAATACATCACATTGTCGCATTGTTCGCCTCGGGTAAAGTTGCTATAGACCCGTCTGCATTGGCCAGAATACACGAGATTGATCTCTGAATGTATGTCAATAAATGACATAAACCCAACTCAATATCTGTGATTATGGAATACAGAGTCATGTTGTCATGCCATATCGTCGTCTCCACGTCATAGCCGTGCTCCGGGTTTATACTCCGTCTATTCATAAGTTGAGAGAAAATAAATATATATCTATCATCCATACTCATAGATGAATTATGAGAATGTGTAAAGCGCACTTTCCAATTTATAACTCTTTAAATGCGCTTCGACTAGGAAAGATTTATTCACCGGCTTGCTTGAAGAGATGAGTTTTAAATATAAAGTAATATATTTCACTAACTATAGACTTTTCCATATTTTACGAGGCTTTTAGCATTCAGGTCTTCAACAAAATACACCATCAACATCACACACGTCACAAACATCATAAATAAAGGTTCAGTTACGAGAGTCGACCATGTATAAGATATCATGACTTTAAATTGTCGCCTGTATGAACAGGCCTTCAGATTAATATACTGCAGCTGTCCAGGGGCCATTATTACCACTCTCAGGCCGCCTCCGTGGTCTAGTGGTAGAGCGTCCGCCCGAAGAGCGGAAGGTCCGGGGTTCGATCCCCGGCCGCGTCATACCAAAAGACGTTAAAAGATGGTACTTGTTGTTACCCTGTCTGGCGCTCGGCATTAAGGGGTTAAAACAAGGACTGGTCGGCTCGGAGTCAGTATACTGTGTCTGAGTGGGGTATTAATGTTAAACTGCGGCATGGTATCTCAGTGGGCTAGCACTATAAATCGGCATCAGTCCGTTCTAGTACAAGCAGCCACACACACACACACACACACACGTGCATGCACGTCGCTATATAAGTGCAATAATCTTAGACGCGACGTTAAACCAAATTTCACCTCACCTCACCTATTACCACCCTCACTAAGACCTTCCAATATTTAATGAAGGACAACAGACATGTTCATGGGGTTTCAGGGATATTGTGGTGAAAAGAAATTCAAGCCGCTACTTTATTCCCAGCGTCGTATTGTTAAGTCGACGAGACTCAGTGTTTCAATATCAAATTAAACGTCATTGTGGGTTTACTGAATATGTCCGCCACAAAAACAGGTCAACAAGTTCAGAGTTTAAGGATTATGACATTATAGATTCAATACGAAACAGGTTCAGCATTGTGTTGTTGCCTGAAGGGAGGCTGTGGTGTTGAGGGAATATACTCGGGACCACGCCTGGAGGGCTGATGTTTTACATTGGCCGACACAAGGCACCTCATTCAGAACACCGGTAATTGTGGATTTAGCGAGCATTTAGTGATGAATGAGATACACTATGTCCAAGCATAGAAACACATGGTTTCTTCATTCGATTTGTAAGAAGAGCCTCCGCGAATAATTGAATTATATATTCTATAACATATGAAACTATATAGAAAAGTGACAAGACAACACAAATGTACAAAATATACGACATACGAACGTTTAACATCGCATATCAAATTAAAAACACAGGCGGCTGACATTCAAATATTAAGTATATGTTTAAAAAGGAACGAAAGTGCTGAGGTGCCGTTTTAGCCTGCACCCGTGTCAATATATTATTATATATACCTGGCATGGTATCAGTTTTATAAAATAAATATCAGATGTTAACAACTGTAACAATGAAATACAATGCGCCAATATTAACCGAGAAACAAAATTGTTCCATGCATATTATAGATTATGAAAAGAGACAGAAAAGTAAGGATAACAGCTGGACAACATGTGAAATGTAACTTAATATTACTGTCATAGCGGCATTGGTAGAAACGTTGTCTTGGTAATTCAACATAACGGTGATCTTTGTCAGTTCATGCGAAAAACTTTGGTACTTACTGGTGCTTCATGAACACAAAGTATGGGCATCCAACCCGGGGGTGTCCAGTCTCTGCGGTAGTATTAGGTCCACATGGCTATAGCTAGGGGGAAGCAGAGTGACTCTTACCTCATCGTTGAAGCGGGATCTCCAAGAACTCATGTTTTCTTCTACGTTGACGAATACGTCACTGCCACTGCTGTCAGATGTTGACTTGTGATGGTCGTCTCTTCACTTTAGTCGACTTCCTCGCGATTTTTACGTTTAGATATAACCAAAATAGATTATTGCTTTCTGTATTATTCCTAAACTGGTTATACTACAGAAAACTATTGAGTGCCGGCACATATATTCCGTATGTCCTGTTAACACGTGTTGCAGAAACTGGTTTGAAAACGTGAACAAATCTTGAGAAGGTTATACGGGTCGGTTGTCCTGTGCTCAAAGAGCTCTACAACCAGACTGAGCTGAGTGGGTCGGATGTCTAAAAGTTTTACCCAAGTTTTGATTGGCTCGGTATGGATGCTGCGTAGCCGGTAGTTTGACTAGTCAGTTTCTCAACTAGTCACGTGACGTACTGATTGTTCCTTTTTTCGCCCTGAATGAGACCTCTTGCTGTCGCAGAAACGCTCGACTGATTAGGCTGATTGTCACTTATATCACTGTTGTTGTTGTTGTTCACGTAGTCATTTATGTATGCCTGTACAGAGTATGTGTATTGCCAGAACAATATGAGAGGGTGCTGAGTAGTATAGACAATGAGGGTTCCGACACAACCCTACTAGAGCCAGATTTATATACCTAAACTTCTGCTACAGTGGGAATTTTTTATGCAAATATGATGATGTGATTCAACGATCGTCATGATTCGTATTAAAAGAAACATCAATATTAATTAATAATTAATAAAATTTACCATAGCCCACTAGGATATTCGAAAGGTATAGGAGCAATACAAAAATAAGCCACTGCGGTTTAGGTATCTAAAAAACAAACGATGTGGCAAATATACTTACCAGCACGGCGTAATATACCGAGGAAGAAGTTTGATATTTTTACAACGAATGAAGTTCATCAGGCTGACCTCTTGTTTCTTCCCGATGATAGGGTAAGACACAAAACATATAAATATGCTTTAACCATAGTGGAGGTGGCTAGTCGCTACAAGGAGGCTGAACAATTAACCTCAAATGATTCAACAGAAGTAGCTAATGCACTGAGCCGTATATATAAATGTGGACCACTAAAATGGCCCAAGTTATTTCAAGTAGATCCTGGTCGCGAGCTTATGGGATCAGTATCTGAACTATTAACAAAGCACGACACCACAATCAGCCGTGGTGAAAAAGAGGCCCACCGTAGTTAAGCTATTGTTGAAAGATTTAATCGGACATTAGCGGAACGTTTGTTTGGATATCAGTACGGGATTTAAATGAAATCATAACGAATAAGATCAACCGAATGGGTGACACGATTATCAGCTGTTGTATCAGCGCTAAATAGTGAAGTAATGAAATTAATAGGGAAGAAACCATCCGATGTGATTAAAATGAATTCTGTGACTTCCGAATCTGCAGCACCGCATCTGCTGATAGCAATCCTTTCAAACTAAATCTTTTGCTATCTCGAAAGGCATTCAAAGTGTCTGTGGAGAAGTAACCAATGTTACACGTCTTCGTTCTGGTTCCATTCTTGTGGAATGTACACGGAGACAACAATCTGTTAATCTGCTGGATCTACAGCAGTTTGTTAACACCCAGGTTGTTGTTTCGGTGTACAGGACACTGAATTAAAGTAGAGGCATTGTCAGGGACCGCGCTCGCTGTCTTTCTAACATGGCAGAAGAAGAGATTCCTGCTGAATTGAAACATCAAGGGGTCACTGCTGTTAAGCGGTTCAACAGAAAAATCAGAAGATGGAAAATTTATTCTAACCAACACCTATCTTTTCACTTTTTGTCTTGCCAAAAAAACAAAATCCATCAAAGCTGGTTACTTTAACATCGGAATGGAGGTTTATGTTCCAAATCCTCTCCGGTGTTACAAGTGTCAACAGTTTGGACACAGGGCAAAAACTTGCACTCGCAAGGCCAGATGCTTCCGTTGCAGTGGAACTCACGAAGGTTCCGAGTGCACAGATGATGTCAAATGTGCCAACTGCGACGGGGAGCATGTGGCCTCGTCCAAATCATGTCCAGTGTTCGTATCAGAATCACAAATCTTAAAACTAAAGCGCACGCAAAATATTTCTTACTCTGCTGCCACACAATTAGTACAAATTCCATCAAAATCACCCGCAAATATAACTTATTCAGCTGCAGTCTCTTCTCCGACTCCAGTTCTCAAAATTACTACAGCCTCTACATCCTGCCAGACTTTGAACTCTTGGGTAAAGGATGACCAGTTTACCATCGACGAAGCACAGACATCTCACTCTATGAAATCTACTTCTGCTTCCCAAACAGAACATCTAACATCAGCACCTCAGATTCTGCAAACTCAGAAAATGGTAAGTCCATCAGAACCCAGCAATGTGAAAGACAACAAAAACATTCAGGGCGAAGCCCATCTGACTAAAACGGAAAAAAAGAAGTTAAAAAAGATAAGGGCTCTCCAGCACTTGGAATTGCCTTCTCTTGCTGACACCACAGTAGAGGTTCATAATCCATTTGAGCCTCTAGCGATGGAGGTCAGTCCCTCACTCCCGGTTCGCGGGAGTGGACCTCCCTCTCGCTCAAGAACTCCAGTTGAGCCTCCATGAATGGCTCCAATAATATTATTCAGTGGAATTGCAGGGGAATAAAGAATAATTTTAATGATTTACAGTTACTAGTACAGGATTTTAAACCATCAGCATTTTGTTTACAAGAAACGTATTTTAAAGATAATGATCAAATCAATTTGAGACAATATGATGCATATAACTTCTTTTCTCCTCCAGGACCTAGGGCTACTGGAGGATCTTCAGTGTTGGTGAGACAGGGTGTTATACATGGCCCTGTTCCACTTAATACACCACTTCAAGCTGTTGCAGTCCGTTTAGGCCTCAACATTGTTTTCACATTGTGCTCGCTTTATGTACCTCCATCTTCTACTCTTCAACAAACTGATCTTTCGGCACTCTACAACCAGCTCCCCAAGCCCTGTATCATTATGGGCGATTTGAAGGGGCATAATCAACTTTGGGGTAGTGCTGATACGAACAGTAAAGGTAAGATATTAGAAGATTTCATTTCGAACAACGATTTATGCATCTTTAATGATAACTCTAAAACATATTCACATCCTGGAACAGGCACATATTCTTCTCTCAATTTATCACTTAGTAACTCTGATCTGTTAAATGAATTCGAATGGTCAGTCCACGACGACCTTTGTGGAAGTGACCATTTTCTGACTATTCTTCAAACAATAATTCAAACTGATGTTCCTCCATCATCACGATGGAACTTCACAAAGGCTAACTGGCCTTTGTTCAAATTACTCTGTATGAACAAACTAAATCCTGCTCAGTTTATTGATGTTCCTGATTCTATTAAGGTGTTCACTGATGAACTGTACAAAATAGCTGATGAATGTATTCCAAAGTCCTCTGCAAATCCACACATTCCGTAAACAATGGTTTTACAATGACTGCAGGCAAGTAAGGCTGAGCACTATTTCCATCGCCATCCCATGATCTATAATTTGAATCAATTTCAAATTTCAAATGCTAAAGCCAGGCGTACTTTTAAACATAATAAACGCCTATCTTGGCGAGATTATGTTTCAAAAATAAATTCACGAACGCCCATGTCTAAGGTATGAAACATGATTCAGAAAAATAAGGGAAGGGTTCCAAATCTAGCGTCCACCATCTTAAGAATGCGGATGAACTATTAACTAACAAATCGGATATTGCAAATAAACTCGGTGAAACGTTAGCAAAACATTCTTCCTCCTCAAACTATGTACCTCAATTCCAAATATACCAAAAACAGCACGAAAAGAAAACTATTAATTTTAAATCAGATAATGGGGAAGATTATAATGAAGTATTTTCAATCCATGAGCTTTATACTGCTCTTGATCAGGTTCACGATACTGCTACAGGAGCTGATAATATACACTATCAACTCCTGAAGCATTTACCAAAACCGTGTTTATAGAAACCCTTTTGTTAATTTTTGATGATATCTGGACATCAGGTAAATTTCCTTCTTTATGGCGTGATGCCATAGTTGTACCCATACCGAAACCGGGACGGGATCATACTGATCCAACAAATTATAGACCCATTTCATTGATCAGCTGCGTTTGCAAAACCATGGAACGCATGGTCAACAATAGATTAACATGGCTCTTTGAATCTAATAATTTACTTACAAATATTCAGTGTGGTTTTAGAAAGAAAGGAGTACTGTTGACCATTTAGTTCGGTTAGAGTCATTTGTAAAAAGTGCAATAATTAATAACCAGCATGCAGTGTCTATATTTTTCGACTTAGAAAAAGCATATGACACTACATGGAAACACGGGATTTTGAAAGATTTACATGATTTGGAATTGAGAGGCTGTTTGCCTCAATTCATATCCAGATTTTTAACTGACAGACAATTTCAAGTCAGCGTGGGCTCAACCCTGTCTGATCATTATCATCAGGATCAGGGTGTCCCACAGGGCAGTATTTTGTCTGTTACACTATTTAGTATTAAGATAAATAGTCTCTCTAAGGTTTTAAATGATTCTATAGACGGATCGCTTTTTGTGGATGATTTTAACATATCTTGTCGTGGTAAAAATATGCATTCAATAGAAAGACAATTACAGCTATGTCTAAATAAAATTCAAAAATGGTCGCTAGAAAATGGCTTTAAATTTTCTAAAGCCAAGACCAACTGTTTACATTTTTGTCGAAAATATAGGCCACATCAAGATCCTGAACTATATCTGGATGGCACACCTATCAAGATTGTAAAGGAAGCCAAGTTCTTGGGTCTTATTTTTTTGATAGCCATTTGAAATTTAAACCCCATATAAACTACCTGAAAGCAAAGTGCCTGAAGGTGCTCGACTTATTAAAAGTTGTTTCAAATTCCAATTGGGGAGGTGATCAGAAGACCCTCCTCTAACTGTATAGAGCTCTCATACGTTCAAAACTCGATTACGGCTCCATCGTTTATGGAGGAGCATGCAGAAGTAATCTTCAAATACTTGATTCTATTCATCATCAAGGACTAAGACTCTGCCTGGGATCCTTCAGAACATCTCCAATAAATAGTCTATATGTAGAGGCTGACGAGCCATCGATTAACCTCCGACGTATACAATTATCATTACAGTATATCGCTAAATTATCTTCAAACCGATCTAATCCTGCATACGACTGCGTTTTTAATCCCCTCTACGAGGAACTTTATCAGAAGAAATACTCACTTATTCCCCCTCTTGGAATACGAATAAAACCTGGCATTTCGGCTGTATCTATAAACCTTGCTAATATTTCTCCTTATCGTCTTTTGTCTTCACCTCCTTGGCAACTGATTAAGCCAGAGGTAGACCTGACTTT